TCATGCCATGTTTGGTTTCATTCCATTCAGTATTTTTCTAAAAGAAAACATTTGTATGTATTCCCCATAGGGTCCTATGTTAAACTAAGTCCCCGCTGGCAGCCATCTTGGATGATTGATCAGCTTCAAAGTATCAACACTAGGTCAACACCTCTTAAGGAACATTCATGCCATGTTTGGTTTCATTCCATTCAGTGGTTCTCTAAAAGAAGACATTTGTATGTATTGTCCATAGGGTCCTATGTAAAACGAAGTCCCCTGCTGGCGCCCATCTTGGGTGATGGATCAGCTAAAAAGTAACAACACTTGGTCAGCACCTCATAAGGAACATTTATACCATGTTTGGTTTCATTCCAATCAGTGGTTCTCTAAAAGAAAACATTTGTATGTATTTCCCATAGGGTCCTATGTTAAACTAAGTCTCCGCTGGCGGCCATCTTGGATGATTGATCACCTACAAGGTTACAACACTTGGTCAGCACCTCATAAGGAACATTCATGCCATGGTTTATTTCATTCCATTCAGTGGTTCTCTAAAAGAAGACATTTGTATGTATTGTCCATAGGGTCCTATTTCAAAATAAGTCCCTCTCTGGCGGCCATCTTGGATGATGGATCGGCTTCAAAGTAACAACGATTAGTCAGCACCTCATAAGGGAACATTCATGCCATGTTTGGTTTCATTCCATTCAGTAGTTCTCTAAAAGAAGACATTTGTATGTATTGTCCATAGGGTCCTATGTTAAACAAAATTCCCCCGCTAGCGGCCATCTTGGATGATGGATCGCCTACAAAGTTACAACACTTGGTCAACACCTCATAAGGGACATTCATGCCATATTTTATTTCATTCCATTTAGTGGTTCTCTAAAAGAAGATATTTGTATGTATTTCCCATAGGGTCCTATGTTAAACTAAGTCTCCCTCTGGCAGCCATCTTGGATGATGGATCGGCTTCAAAGTAACAACACTTGGTCAGCACCTCATAAGGAACATCATTCATGCTATGTTTGGTTTCATTCCATTCAGTGGTTCTCTAGAAGAAGTTCAAAATGTAAATAGTTATCGAGGACAACGACGGACGACGGGTGATGAGAAAAGCTCACTTGGCCCTTCAGGCCAAGTGAGCTAATAAGAAGATGTGCTATGATTGCCAATGAGACAATTATCAACCATAGACCAAATGACATAGAATATTAGATGTAAGCATTTATAGGTCATTGTATTGCCTTCCAACAATGAGCAAAACCCATACCTCATAGCAAGCTATAAAAAGCCCTGACATGACAAATGTAAAACAATTCAAACAAGAAAACCAAGGGACTTATTCTTATTCAAAATAATAAACACAAACAAATATGATAGACAGGAACCCACGACAACCATCGAACTACAGACTCCTGACTTGAGACAGGCACATACAGAATATGGCAGGGTTAAACATGCTTGTAAGCGCTCAACCCTCCTCAAACCTGGAACACTTGTGCAACAGTCTAACACAAGAACAAACTGTAACAAGAGTGCACACGCTGAAATGTTTCCCCTGTTTTACTGACCATTGATTTTATGTTATAAAGGTTTTACTACAAGTATCACATAAACTTAACACTTTTAAAGAACCATGACAATGAGTGAGGTCAAGGTCAGATAAAAACTGTCACACAGACATGTACACCTAACAATTATTCCATACACCAAATAAAGTTGACCCATTGCTTATGGTTATTGAAAAACAGACAAAAACACAAAAAAATAATGTTAACCAATGAACCATAGAAATGAGGTCAAGGTCAGAAGATACTGGCTAGACAGACATGTACACCTTACAATCATTCCATACACCAAATATAGTTGATCTATTGCTATTAGTATTTAAAAAACAGACAAAAACACAAAAACTTAACACTGACCAATGAACCATGAAAATGAGGTCAAGGTCAGATGACACCTGCTAGACAGACGTGTACATCTTACAATCATTCCATACACCAAATAAAGTTAACCTATTGCTTACAGTACTTGAAAAACAGACCAAAACACAAAAAAATTAACAATGACCAATGAACCATGAAATGAGGTCAAGGTCAGATGAAACCTCCCAGTCTGACATGTACCCCTTACAATCATTCCATACACCACATATAGTTGACCTGCTGCTTGTAGTATCTGAGAAACGTCCCTAATCACGTAACTTTAACATTGATCACTGATCCATGAATTGAGGTCGAGGTCAGGTTAACCCTGTCTGACGGACATGTAGACGTTGCTATAAACCCATATACCAAATATAGTTATCATATTACACATAATAAGTGAGAAATACACATGACAAAAAAATTGTTATTTTTTTTCAAGCAGTTACTGAACCATGAAAATGAGGTCAAGGACAATGGGCATATGACAGACGGAAACTTTGTAACATAAGGTATCTGCATACAAGGTATGAAGCATCAAGGTCTTCTACCTTCTGAAATATAAAGCTTTATACAAATAGTTAACGCCACTGCCACCGCCGGATAGTAAAACCTATGTCTCGCATACTTCGACTTTCGTCGCAGGCGAGACAAAAATCAGTTCAAAAGGACTTGACTAATCAGGTTGACACAAAGGGAAAAAAAACAGTGACTTAAAAAATAAATAATACACAAAATACCGATCTAAGAGTTAATAAAAACTAGTTCAAAGCTTTAGTAAACAAACATGAAAATATATTTTATATTATTGCGAACCCAATGAAAGTTTTCCACAGTGCCATCTCTATCTTGACCAGGTATTTAAACTTTTGCAAGTTCACCTGTCCTATTGAATGAATACAAAAGCTATTTTTCTCTGTGTAGTTTATTCACTGGGACCTTTAAATTTCTTCTAAGAGAAATCTATCACTCATTGATTAATTTACCTGAGTAAAACAAATTTCTTATATATAGACAAAAATACTTTTTTTATACTCATTAACTGCGTGTGATGATGTATTCATTCAATATTAATAATATATTTTCATTCAGTTTAATATAAACATTGATTCAATCATAAAAAGTTGATTTCAAACAAAAGTTTTATCAATGTTCCTATTGAAATTTGATTTTTTTTTGTCTAGTTATAGAATACATTTAATAAAATACTGTAAACCAACTTATTTTCACAGAAAGTTATTCATGTTAACTTATCCCTTTTATTTCTATAAATCTATGTCTGAGAGGATTATTTATTTTGACATTTTTTCACAAACCTTTAAGCTTGATTAGAATAAATGTACATTGAAGTACAGTCTAAATGGATAATAAGAGTAAATATTAGCATTGTCACTTTCATAGTTTTTTTGGTCCAACACAAAAAAAATAATTTGAAAGTCACAAATTTCCATAGGAACATAGCAAAATTTAATGTCAAAACATTGGAACAAAATTATGAAAAGCTGTAGACAATTTAGTAAAAATTGGTAAATAATGCAAATAAAGTAAATCAGTTTATTATGGCTAATATTGCAAATAGCCAATGCAGACAACTTACCCTAATACATTCTAGAAGCCTACTAAATTATTAGATATTGAATAAATCAACATCACATATAGTTTTGTGTGTCCTTATTTAGTATTGGTACATGTATTTTTATCATTGAGAGTTAAATTTTTTGTTCAGGTAAATTAATCAATGAGTGATAGATTTCTCTTAGAAGAAATTTAAAGGTCCCAGTGAATAAACTACACAGAGAAAAATAGCTATTGTATTCATTCAATAGGACAGGTGAACTTGCAAAAGTTTAAATACCTGGTCAAGATAGAGATGGCACTGTGGAAAACTTTCATTGGGTTCGCAATAATAACTTTTAAAAATTACAAATAACAAATAAAGCATGGTCCCCACATCAAAATATGTACATTTAATTCATTACAATTTTTAGAAAAAAAAGTAGGCAGCTTCAATATTTTTTTTTATTGAAGAAAACAAAGAAAGAGCACTTTGAAAAGTTTGTGTTTACTATATCTTAATTATATTATTGCAAACCCAATGAAAGTTTTCCACAGTGCCATCTCTATCTTGACCAGGTATTTAAACTTTTGTAAGTTCACCTGTCCTATTGAATGAATACAATAGCTATTTTTCTCTGTGTAGTTTATTCACTGGGACCTTTAAATTTCTTCTAAGAGAAATCTATCACTCATTGATTAATTTACCTGAGTAAAAAAATTTCTTATATATAGACAAAAATACTTTTTTTATACTTATTAACTGTGTGTGATGATGTATTTATTCAATATTAATAATATTTTTTCATTCAGTTTAATATAAACATTGATTCAATCATAAAAAGTTGATTTCTAACAAAAAGTTTTATCAATGTTCCTATTGAAATTTGATTCTTTTTTTTTGTTTATATTTTTAGTTATAGAATACATTTAAGAAGATCTTAATTTGAACATCATAATTTTCAAGTTTTTATTCATGTCAAACAAATTTTTTTTAAAAGGAACAATGTTGAAAGTTTTGTCAGAAATCAACTTTTTATGATTGAATCAATGTTTATATTAAACTGAATGAAAATATATTATTAATTTTGAATAAATACATCATCACACGCATTTATTGAGTATAAAAAAAGTATTTTTGTCTATATATAACAGATCATTTTTTTACTCAGGTAATTTAATCAATGAATGATAGTTTTCTTTTAGAAGAAATTTAAAGGTCCCAGAGAATAAACTACACAGAGAACAATAGCTATTGTATTTATTCAATGGGACAGGTGAACTTGCAAAAGTTTAAATACCTGGTCAAGATAGAGAGGGCACTGTGGAAAACTTTCATTGGGTTCGCAATAATTTGAAGTAAATAGTGATCTAACAGTCATTATTTAGATTTGATAAGGAGAAAGATTGTTGACTAAAACTACTTTCAATAAGATTCTGGCGGCGACAACAACTATATGATGTCATGAATATATAAAAATCTCAGTTCTGTTTACATGGTTAAGCTATTTAATAGAATTTGATAAATCTTACCAATTGTAATTTGCTCAACAGGCACAGGTCTTGTTTTCCCAGGACTCCTCTGAAGTGAAACGATTTCTTTCTCTCTAACATGCCAACTGTGATTCTCTGCAGCACCATTATTCATGCTTGAGTGGTTACAGGGATCTATATAATACATGAATTTATGTAAAAAGGGATATCAGAAGAAACTACACAAAACAATTTCAAGTGATATATATACATCACAAGTTCACAAGGCAGCAGATTTGGATTTATCATTTCTGTAAACCAACTTATTTTCTCAATTGACTTATTTTAGCTACTGTAGAGATAAACAAGAGTGCACACGCTAAAATATCACGCCTGCTTTACTGACCATTGATTGTATGTTGAAAGTCTTAAAGATAAAGGTTTTACTACATGTACAAGCATCAAATAAACTTAACATTGTTAAAGATCCATGACAATCAGGTCAAGGTCAGACAAATCCTGTCAGAAAGACATGTACACCTTACAATTATTCCTTACACCAAATATAATTGACCTATTGCTTATGGTAATTGAAAACAAACCAAAACACAATAACTAATGATTGACCAATGAACCATGAAAATTAGGTCAAGGTCAAATAACTGAAAGACAGACATACATATGTACACCTTACAATCATTTCAAACACCAAATATACTTCACCTACTGCTTATAGTATTTAACAAACAGACCAAAACAAAAACTGAAAATTGACCAATGATCCATGAAAATGAGGTTAAGATCAGATGATACCTGCCAGACAGACATGTATACCTTACAATTATTCCATACAACAAATAAAGCTGACCTATTGCTATTAGTATTTAAACTAGAGGCTCTCAAGAGCCTGCAGTGTCGCTCACCTGTATTTACTGATGCTTTGGAAATCATGTAAAATAAGGTAAAAATCATAATTAATAGTATTAGATATTAGATATTATAATGATATCTAAGATAATAACAAAAAAATTTTTGTAAAATTACTAACTCAGGGGCAGCAACCCAACAACAGGTTGTCGGATTCGACTGAAAATTTCAGGGCAGATAAATCTAAATCTGATGAACATTTTTGCCACCTGTCAGATTTGCTCTAAATGCTTTAGTTTGAGAGATATAAACCAAAAACTGCATTTTACCCCTATGTTCTTTTTTTAACCAAGTCGGCCTTGATGGTTGGAAGGCGGGGTCATCGGACAAATTTTTTAAACTAGATACCCTAATGATGATTATGACCAAGTATGGTTAAATTTATCTCAGTAGTTTCAGAGAAGAAGATTTTTGTAAAAGATTACAAAAATTTACGAAAAATTGTTAAAAAATTACTATTAAGGGCAATAACTCCTAAAGGGGTCGACTGACAATTTTGGTCAAGACAACTTATTTGTAGATCTTACTTTGCTGAACATTATTGCTGTTTACAGTTTATCTCTATCTATAATAATATTCAAGATAATAACCAAAAACTGCAAAATTTCCTTAAAATTACCAATTCAGGGGCAGCAACCCAACAACAGGTTGTCAGATTTGTCTGAAAATTTCAGGGCAGATAGATCTTGACCTGATAATCAGTTTTACTCATGTCAGATTTACTCTAAATGCTTTGGTTTCAGAGATATAAGCCAAAATCTACATTTTACCCCTATGTTCTATTTTTAGCCATGGTGGCCAACTTGGTTGGTTGGCGGTGTCATCGGACACATTTTTTAAAATAGATACCCTAATGATGATTGTGGCCAAGTTTAGTTAAATTTGGTCCAGTGGTTTCAGAGGAGGAGATTTTTGTAAAAAGCTAACGACGACGACATCGACGGACGACGGACGCCAAGTGATGAGAAAAGCTCACTTGGCCCTTCGGGCCAGGTGAGCTAAAAACAGACCAAAATACAATAACTTAACATTGATCATGAAAATGAGGTCAAGTTCAGATGATACCTGATACACAGACATGTACACTTATATTAGACCTATTGCTTATAGTATTTGAAAAACAGACCAAAACATAAAAAACTTTACATTGACCAATGAACCCTGAAAATAAGGCCAAGGTCAGATGAAACCTGCCAGACTAACATGTACCCCTTACAATCATTCCATACACCACATGTACATGATATAGTTGACCTACTGCTTATAGTATTTAAGAAGCGGTCCTAATCACGTAACTTTAACCTTGATCAATGATCTATGAAATGAGTTTGAGGTCAGATGAACCCTGTCTGATGGACATGTAGATTTTGTAAGGAACCCATATACCAAATATAGTGATCCTATTTCTCATGATAAGTGACAAATTCAAATAACAAAAAAACTATAATTGTTTTTTAAGTAGTTGCTGAACCATAAAAACAAGGTCAAGGACAATGGATATATGACAAATGGAAACTTCATAACATAAGGTATCTGCATACAAGGTATGAAGCATCCAGGTCTTCTACCTTCTGAAATATAAAGTTTGATACATATAGTTTACATCGTCATCACCTCCAGATAATACTCCCTATGTCTCGTATACTGTGACAAATGTCACTGCCAAGACAAAACTAGCAGTAATATAAATTATCATAAATATGTCAAACTTGTTTCTTGTCTTATATATAAGTATACCAAAAAAAATCTGAAAATAAATTGTTGTGAAATAAACAAAGTAAAGAAAGTTCATGGTTTATAGTATTCTTCATCATGATTTATATTATTCTGTTATTTAAAATAAATGGGGAATGTGTCCATGGGACACAAATGATGCCCCCGCTTGCATACCACATTATAAAGGGACATAACTCAAGAACAGTAAAAGTGACACTACCAAAATTCAAACTTGATCTGTGTATTGTGGTAATAAACATTGTGTACAAGATTCGTAACGTTTAGTTGAAGCAAACTTAAGTTAGAGAACGGAAACGAAAAATTCAGCAATTTTTCCATTTGTAAAGGGGCATAACTCTAGAATGGTAAAAGTGACACCACCAAAATTCAAACTTGATCTGTGTTTTGTGGTAATAAGCATTGTGTATAAGTTTCATAATGTTTGGTTGAGGCAAACTAAAGTTAGAGAACGGAAACGAAAAATTCAGCAATTTTTCCATTTGTAAAGGGGCATAGCTCTAGAATTTCGGGATGTACAGATGTACAGACGGACAAGGGTAAAACTTAATGCCCCCTCCGCTATGGCGGGGGCATAAAAAAACATTACAAATACCTTATAGTAATGAACGGTTACAGAGGAGCAGGCCTAATAAAAAAATACTATTGGAAATGTTAAGTCAAAGCATTATATTATATAATTTATCAGACAAACATTTATTCCTTACACAAATCTACCAGTGTCTACATAACAAATTTTTTTGGCACCTATCAGAACAGACCTTATCCCAAAACTCCACTGGGTAACTAGAAAATGAAATTGAAGAAAGGAGACTTTGATTTGCTGACAATTTAAATGCTGCTAAATTGATGATTCTATTGCGACCTTGCTGTTATTTTCATTTTGATTAAATAACACAACCAATCCCATGCCATCTGAAAATTCCATCATGTATGGTCTTAATTTGCAAAAAATGCCATTAATGATTAAAAATGTATCATTTTAAGTGTTTTCTGTCTAGTTGCCTAAGTATCATATTTGAAGATTTGCAGGCATGGAATGTAAATTTGAGGGTCATATACATCCATTTGCCTGAGTCTGAGCATGAAACTCAATGCTATCAGCAAATTTCTAATTAAAATGCCTGCAACTCTTCAAATAATAATCTGTTACCTTCTAAATAAGAGAACATTTAAAATAATCATAATTTAGTGCTGACCAGTTGTAAAATAATTAGGTGCTATTAAATCTGGGAAATGAGAAAATAGAATATTTGAAAACTGAAAGTAAATGAAAGTTTTGCCATCTTCATGTCAGGAAAAAGATAATCATGGCTGATAATGTCACACAGATAGAAATAGATTATGATGTATAAAATATAACTTTTTATAGGTGTACTTTTATTTGGATGTACAAAATTATCTGTTGAAATCCATTAGTGGTAAATTCTATTACACAATCACAGATACTCTTCCATGTAAAAACTACTTGAATGATTTTAAAAACAAAAATCTTTTTTACAAGAGAATGTCAAGGAATTAAAAAAGTACTAAAAATACTGAACTCCAAGGAAAATAAAGAGTCCATTAAACCTGACAAAATAAAACATATATGATATTTGATTATACATGTATCAACCAACAGAACGAATTGAAAACATTACTGTCATATTCCTGACTTAGTACTGATATTTTAAAACTAGGTTGTTTTATAGCAAGCTATACTGTCCACTTGTATGACAGTTGTTTATACTTCCATTATATTGACAAAATTGGGCTGGCAACTCAAATAAAAATAAAATGCTCCGCAGGGCGCAGCTTGATACGACCGCAGAGGTCGAACCCTGAACAGTTGGGGCAAGTATGGACACAACATTCAAGCTTGATACAGCTCTGAATTTGGATTGTGATTAAATATTTGACACAGCATAGGTTTCTGACACAGAATGAATGTGGTCTAAGAGCTTAAAAATTTTAAATTGGACATTCACCTATTATGGTCCAATATCCAAAATCTAAATACATGGTTAAATTCAGCATATCAAAGAACCCCAAGAATTCAATTTTTGATGAAATCAAACAAAGTTTAATTTTGGACCCTTTTGACCTCAATGTGGACAAAGTTGATAACGGGGCCCAAAAATCAAAAATCTAAATACATGGTTAGATTCAGCATATCAAAGAAACCCATATATTCAATTTTTGTTGAAATCAAACAAAGTTTAATTTTGGACCCCGATTTGGACCAACTTGAAAACTGGGCCCATAATCAAAAATCTAAATACATGTTTAGATTCAGCATATCAAAGAACCCTAAGAATTCAATTTTTGTTAAAATCAAACTTAGTTTAATTTTGGACCCTTTGGACCTTAATGTAGACCAATATGAAAACGGAACCAAAAATTAAGAATCTAAATACACGGTTAGATTCGGCATATCAAAGAACCCCAATTATTCAAGAATGAAATCAAACAAAGTTTAATTTTGGACCCTTTGGACCTCAATGTGGACCAATTTAAAAACGGGGCCCAAAATCCAAAAACTTAATACACGGTTAGATTCAGCATATTAAAGAACCCCAAAAATTCAAGAATAAAACCCCATTGAAAATGGTCAAGAAATAAGCAATTTATACGAAGTATCTTCTTTTGCACAATACTGTGCAATTGAATATTTCTTGCTATTGCGCAATACTGCACAATTGACAATTTCTTGCTATTGCGCAATATTGTGCTATTGGATATTTCTTGCTATTGCGCAATACTGTGCAATTGAAGATTTCTTGCTATTGCGCAATACTGTGCAATTGAAGATTTCTTGCTATTGTGCAATACTGTGCAATTGAAAATTTCTTGCTATTGCACAATACTTATTATATAATAATTTACACATCCTGTTTGGTGTGTATCTCCTACCATATCATTATTATTTGCTTTTAAATATAAATCAGAAATAACCAACTTAAAATGGAAAATTTTAAAAGAAAAAAAAAAGGAAACCCCCCCCCCCCAAATTTTTTGAACCCCCTTATGATTCATCACCCCCAAACTCAATCCCAGCCTTCCCTTTGTGGTATGGTACCTTGCAGTACAATTTCAGAGAGATCCATACACTTGAACACAAGTTATTGTCTGGAAACTAGAAAAATGCTTATTTTTGGCCCCATTTTGGCCCCTTATTCCTAAACGTTTCGGGCAATTACCCCCAAACTCAATTCCAGCTTTCCCTTTGTGATATGGAACCTTGTAGTACAATTTCAGAAAGATCCATACACTAACACTCAAGTTATTGTCATGAAACTAGAAAAATGCTTGTTTTTTGCCCCTTTTTTTGCCCCTAATTCCTAATATTTTGAGGCAATTACCCCCAAAATCAATCCCAGCATTCCCTTTGTGATATGGAACCTTGTGGTACAATGTCAGAGAGATCCATACACTAACACACAAGTTATGTCTGGAAGTTACAAAAATGCTTATTTTTGGCCCCTAATTCCTTAACTGTTGGTACCATAACCCCCAAAATCAATCCCAACCTTCCTTTTGTGGTATTGAACCTTATGGTAAAATTTCATAGAGATCCATTCACTTAAACTAAAGTTAGAGTGCGAAAACCAATGTGTCTTCGGACGACGACAACAACGACAACGACGCTAACGTCATACCAATATACGACATATTGTTAAATTGTGACAATAATAGGGATCCAAAAGCCAAACTTGTTGGAGAAGTTAAATATCATAATTGAAGCTCTACTTATGATAAATTGAGTCAAACAACCACCATAAAGAACTAAACAAAATAAACAACCTGCATGATAAGTATAGAAAAATATTATTTACCTCGTACTGTACATTTGTCACTTCCACCAGTTTCAATATTTTGAGCTGGCTGGTTTCCAGTATTATTGTATTTGTCTGTATCCTCCTCTGGTGATGAAATATAAGTTTGACCAGGGACAGAAACATGTGACATCAGTCTATTATAACTTGCTGCATCTGGAATCTTGTCTTCACTTTGATCAGTGCAAGCTGTCACTTTAGAAATAGGAATTTCCACTTCAGATTTTGAACTAATGTTGTCCATTTTATCTTTCCCACTGTCAATTGATCTTTCTGTTTTATCTGTATTGCTTGAGTTGACATCAGTTATAGCAAGCTTGTGCTGCTTTATATTCTGCTCACGTTTTTTTGCCTCCTCGTGAAATATCTCATTACATAAGTTTACTTTAGTTTTAGACATAGCGTCATACAGATTGCCAATATTGACTCCTTGCTGAAGGAGCTTATCTCTAGGAAATTTTCTTCTTTCTTCTTCAGGAAACTGTTTCCGATGATAAAAAGAAGGAAATCCCCTAATATAAACAAAAACAACATGAGCCACATTATTAAAAATAACAATGCCAGGACTCCCTGAAGCTCCACCAACAAATTCACACTGAATAACTAATCTATCTTTTCTGTCCAGTTCTATGTAACCATTCTGTTGTCCATATTTTTGACAAAACCTTTCAAGATCTTCCATTCTTTTCTCTGTTGGATTCCAAATACCTATTCCAGAGTTGACTTCTTTTTTTATACCTTTATTATGACTGATCAAATAAATATGTTTATCCTCATCTTTTTTAGGATTAAGTCTATAAAACTTCTTAAGTGGAGGAGGAAACGGCTTCCGGTTATCAGGTATCAGCCGGAGAACGGCTACATCCAAACTTTCATCCTTAAACAATATTCTTGGTTCAACTTTGAAAAAAACGGGTGACTTTTCGCTAATATAATCAAAGTCTACCTTTATGTTATCCAATTCTGCTTCATATGGTATATCAAGAACAGTATTCCCTATAAAAATGACATAAACTAAATGAATGCATAATGTCCTGTAGCAATTAGTCAGAACAATAACATATCTGTTTCAAATGAATATATTATACTTATATATAACATACCACACTAACAATGAGATTTATAAGATACATGGCAACATCTTATGCAGAAAATCTTCTCATAATATGTAAGTCAGTCATTGATCATTATTGATCTTACTCTTTATGATCGGTGCTTAGCAGTGAAGTATAATTGAATTACCAATTTAACAAGAAATGAGCTGTCAAATTGACAGCAAACCATGTTTCTGTATTTTGAAGGTACTTTCAGACTTGTTTCACCCACTTCATTCTGTGCCTATTTTTCAATCTATGAAGAACCATAACTCCAGAATGGCAAAAGCGAAAATTGTCAACATCCAAATTGACATTCATTTTGTCATCAGAGTAACAACAAATTAAAAATTAGAAAAGCGTTGGTTGAATGGTTCATCAGTTATTGCATTGAAACTACAAAAAGTGTCATTTAAAAATCTGTCAAGGACCATAACTCTCAGATCAATTTTCTTTTGCGTCACCTCTTTCGCCAAAACAATATATTTTTTGCCACTTTTAATTTTTTTTCCCCAAATTTACATAAACGTTTTTTTTCGTTTTTATAAAATATAAATGGAGATGTGTCCCTGGGACACAGATGATGCTCCCGCTTGCATATAACGTTATAAAGTGGCATAACTGGAGAACGGTGTGAGTGAAACCACCCAAATTCGAACTTGATCTGAGTTTTGTGGTAATAAACATTGTGTATAAGTTTCATAACATTTGGTTGAGGCAAACTAAAGTCAGAGAGCAGAAACGAAAAATTCAGCAATTTTTCCATTTGTAAAGGAGCATAACTCTTGAAAGGTAAAAGTGACGCCATCCAAATTCAAACTTGATCTGTGTTTTGTGGTAATAAACATTGTGTATAAGTTTCATAACATTTGGTTGCGGCAAACTAAAGTTATAGAATAGAAACCAATTTTGGGACATATGTACAGACGTACGGACGGAAAAACAGACAGACAAGGGTTAAACTTAATGCCCCCGCCGTAGGGGAGGGGGCATTAAGTTTTACCCTTGTCTGTCTGTTTGTCCGTCCGTACGTCTGTACATATGTCCCAAAATTGGTTTCTATTCTATAACTCCTTAAATTCTCTTTAAAATCTACACTTTCCAATGAAACATGTCTAGTATGAAAAATAAAAAGAGATGAGGTACCCTCGCCAATGAAACAACTCTCCACCTGACACCAAATGACGTACATGTAGAAGTCAGCAACGATTGGTCAACATACAGCCTTCAACAATGAGCAAAAGCCATACCACATAGTAAACTATAATAGGCCCCAACATGACTTATGTATAACAAATAAAAAAAAAGAACATGCTAAAGCCCTGATTTATGAACAAAACAATAAAAAAAAAATATGAAATACAGCAACAAATGACATGTTGTAGTTCACTTGCAATAGCACAATTCAACATTAAGAAATTGCAACACAGACTGATCTAATTTTTACCAATTTCTGATTTCATTTTATATATTTAACATGTCTTATATAAGACAAATAATTTCATATTTCCAAGTATTTTTTTTTCAAAAGTTTAAAACATATTTTCTAATTTGGTATCTATAAGCCGCATATGTTATATCATAACTTATGGTCGAATGCTACTTTTTGTAATTTTTATAGGGTTGTAAACGTGTTGACAGAAACACATTTTGAGAGGTGACCTGTAAAAGGAGGTTCCAAAAAATTCAGATTCTGATATCGCCCGTGACCGGGATCGGGGCAATTTGGTTTAGTGTTTTCAATCCGTAGAGTTATCGTCCTTGCGTGCAGTGAAATAAAATATGGCGGATTCCTGCGCTGTAAGTGTGAAGACAAATTCGAAATATGTTAATATTCATTGAGAAATAAGTCGGCATACGGTTTTCAATGGATACTGAAAGGTTGGAAGACAGGGGAATTCACGAATTCACCTCATACTGCGCGATCTTGGTTGCAAACAGGTTTCAATTTTTTCAATTAACTTCGATAATGACAACATATATTTTTCGTCAAAATTTTTGGTAATTAAAACATTTAAATGACCATTGTTAAAAGTTGAAATGACGATTTCGTTTGAAAATTAGGTGACCGCTGACCGTGTTAGACAGATGACTGCTGAAATGAGTTAAATTATATAGAAAAAACTTTTGGGAGGGTCTGAAAATGACCGTTAGAGGCAGGTGGCTGCTGAAACGAGGTGACCGTTAAGGCAGTTTCGACTGTATATATCATATATAATTTGCTATGTCGTATGAAGTACAGCTTCCAGCCCCGGTTGGGGAGGAAGTAAAGAATCTAATCTACTCTTACATTGTTAATTCGATTTTCTAGGCACTTTATATATATTATATCATACCTCTAACCAAAGTACAGATAAAAAGGAGAGTATTCTGAGTTCTCAAAACCTATTTGCAGATTTTAACTTAAACACGTTAATACATAAACCTAAAAAAAAAAATTTTAAATATGTTTATCTTATAAAATTGTTAATATAGTTAAACAATTTAAAAGACTTTGTTTTGACCTTGGCAAATCCCCTCCCCCTCCATGCTCAGAGATCTAAACATCCCTTTTTATTCAGAGGTCTTTTTATGTTAATTTTAAATTATCATTGAACTTTTTAATAGCGTGAGCAACACAAATGGTGCGACATTTGAAGCAGGAAATGCTTACCCTTCTGGAGCACCTGATTTCATCCTGGTTGTTGGTGGGGGTTTGTGTTGCTTCAGTCTTTAGTTTCTATGAAGCGTTTTGTGGACTTGTTAGATTTTCGTCATTTTTCGTTTTTTGACATGGAGTTGTCAGTTTTTCGTCCACTTATAAGTTATCTCTTTTGTACTATTACAAATTGAAAGACTTTTTTTCAAAACTTTAGCATACCTGCCTGAGTAGTAATAAGGCAGTATGCTCACCTAAAGTGTCGCAGGTTGCTAGTTCAAACTCTGAAAACTATCCAAAATTTTTAAATTCTAAATATTCAATACATGATTAACTCATAAATGGCAGCATTAAAAAAGACATCCAAATTATCATTGATAGGATATTATTTGTACAACAGACATGATAAAATACGATAAAAGGTTAAAATAAAAAGACAGCTGACTTTTCCCTTCTGTATATGAAAAAATTTAAGTCTGGCCTTTAAAACTTCAAAAAAAAGAATAAATGAAGAGGAGAAGCACAACTGGTACACATATTAAAGAATGTCAGAGGGTCTAATGCAACAATCCTATTATAAATTTTATAAGTGACAAGTAATTATTTACACAATACATGTATTTGTAATTCATCAAACACATGAGAATACATAACAAACTTTATACTCACATATATTATCATAAACAACATGAGCAGCAGTAATGATTTTATCTTCTCCTACTCTCCAACATGTTCCAGTTTTAATGGGTCCATGAAAATAACCCACTGATTTTGACACTTCTACAAGGATTTCCATTTCCATAGTACTTATTGTAGAAGTTGGCTGGAATTTCTCCACTATAACAGATGTCAAAAACTTATATCATTTATTCAAAGAAAATTTTAATTTGTGATTTTTTTTCTTGTCTACAGTATAAAGCAAGAAATGATTTTAAATGAGATAAATTCACTGTCGACCTCTTTATAAGACTAGAGAATACATGATTTTGCTACATTATGTTTTTATGCCATGATTTGAATAGTCATTGTTTAAAATCAAAATGTGCAAAAGTTACCAGAAGTTCAACATATTTGTTCTGTCACTTAACTGCCCCTAATTTAAAGGCTATGCGAAATATAGGCAATACTTGCCATATTACATATTTAAAATTGATGTCATATCCTGCAACACAGTGGAAAAATGATTCTCATAAACAGTCTTTCTTTATTGCATTAAAATATGAATCAAGTTTAATACATGTACAAGTTAATGAAGTGTGCTTACTTTAATGCATTTTGAGTTGCAGTGCTACCATGAATATATTTAAGAAATAATTCATTGGGGCTTGAACTTATTGTGATTTTACCATGGCTTGGCCCTTTATGCTAAATATTTTACAACAAGTGACAGCGAGGGGTAAAATATCAGCATAAAGGGCCAACCTGTGGTAAAATCAATATAAATTCAAGCCCACATGAATTATTTCTATTCAAATAGGACAAAGACAGCAGTTCTATTGTTTCAAAGCGCTCTAGGTGAAGGGAAATGTTTGCTGTTCCCGTAATTGAACACACTATTAATATTGACGTAAAATACGAGACAAAACTGAACAAGTGACATGCTTAAATGATTTACAATAACATACTAAGACAGGTTTGGACAAAGCTGATTGATTATCTTACTTTTATTTAAGGAAATGGGCTTTCAACAAATTCTTATCATCGTTTGTTCATGTTTTCATGTGTTTACGACTTTCAGTTTCAAATTCGTGCATATTCCTGTACAATGCTTATATTCTTATGTCATCGTTCAATGACGTCATTTACACCGTCTGACCTCGGGTAACTCATTCATAAAAAGCAAACAACGTGGGAGTAAAATTGGAACAGCCCAAACAATCCATGACGTTGGCATATCAATATATTCATATTTTACCACGAGTTAAATACTCAAAGCATTTGAAGAACGTCATATTACAGAATAAATAGTAGCTTATATGGACATTACACTTATTGTAAAAGATCATACATTGTTGTCACTCTTGATATTAAATTATCACATTATTTAAAGTATTGTCTTTATTTTTCAATAGGAATAAAATAAATTTCAACATTTATAAATGGGAAAAGTCAACAGTCACTTATTCCTACACCAAAAAATGTTTTGCTGGTATGCAACATGTACTATCATTTCTACACAATAATCAAAATATAAGAATCATGCAAATAAAAAGAAGAAAAAGGCTTATAAGTCTATCATCAGCATAACCAGTCAGGGGTACTACTTGTACAAGTTATTTTTATTTACTTTAAGAAGTAATATTAATTTACTTATATAAGTAAATTTTTAAGATACTTATACAAGTGTATTTTATTTACTTGTATAGGTAAATTATTTTAATGGCATAGTTATGTCCCTTAGACATTCATATTTTTTTACTTATACAAGTAAAAAAGTCATACTATCTTCTTTTCTTGAATTTTTGAAGGCCTTGTGCAAATACATAAGATCTTTGCTCAATTAGTTTCTTTGTTGATTTAATGAGATGAAAGGATGAACTCTAATTAAAAATTATGAGCTACTTTTTTAGAAAATTTAGGGGAGATTATTCAAACCTTATAAGAAAATATGATTATAATACATTTACTTATATAAGTGTATTTTATTTACTTCTTCAAGTAAAAAAAAAAAATTTGTACAAGTAGTACCCCTGACTGATAACGTAAGAAAAAAGGAAGAGATTTGACACTTTAAACTAGTGAAAATCAGCACAGGCACAAACACCGCTAAAATTTTATTTTTAAAAAATGTTGTTAGGCACTAAAACCTGTTACCCACCATGGGAATTTCTAAGGTTGGCGCCTTTAAAAACGTTTAAACCTGCTGCATTTGTTTGCACCTGTCCTAAGTCAGGAGCCTGTTGTTCAGTGGTTGTCGTTTGTTGATGTGGTTCATAAGTGTTTCTCTATTCTCATTTTTTATATAGATTAGACCGTTGGTTTTCCTGTTTGAATTGTTTTACACAAGTCATTTTGGGGCCCTTTATAGCTTGCTGCTCGGTGAGCCAAGGCTCCGTGTTGAAGGCCGTACTTTGACCTATAATTGTTTATTTTTTACACATTGTGACTTGAATGGAGAGTTGTCTCATTGGCACTCATACCACATCTTCTTATTTCTATGTATGTTTTACGGTGAACTTAAACATGTTAAAGGGTAATTAAGAAAAATATATTACCTTTTTCTTGCTCTTCTTTCTCTTTTCCATCCACCTGACCCATGTAAACATTATCATTACCAATGTTTACTACCGCTGCATATTTATAATAGTGTTGTATGTTAGCATTGGGAGGTGGCTCTGAAAAATGAAATAGTCAATATTAAATGTATGAGATTTCTAGTTTTACTCACATTTTTAACTAGGTATTCTCACCAAAATCCATTTATTGATTTGGGGTTACACTGGATAAAAAAAATATGATCTCATTTATAATTTTGTCAAAATTATGTGTTAAATGACCATTGTACATGTTGTATGAAATCTATTGATAAGTCAAATTCGACATATTAATATTGTCATAGTGATATCAAAACTGACATTTCTGCACCAAAGTGACACAATTATAACAAGTATTCTGAGAGTATTGCATGGCAATACATAGTCCTCTACCGGTTAAAAAATCATTGCACTGGAACAAAATGCTTACTTGATCTATAGCTGTTTATCTATCAAACAAGAGTGCACATGCTGAAATGTCAAAGCAGCTTTATCTGATCATGATTGAATTTATGTTGAAAGTCTTAAAGATAAAGGTTTTACTACAAGAATCACAAAAGCTCAACATTATCAATAATCCATGAATTGAGGTCAAGGTCAGAAAAACCCTGCCAGACAGACATGTACACCTTACATTCATTACCTACACCAAATATAGTTGACATATTGCTTACTATAGGTTGCACTTCTGTAAAAATAGACCATGCATTTCCCATAGGAACTCCATAACTGTGCCACTTTTACTATAAAGTTTCATAAAAAATTATATCCAAGAATGGAAAGTTCATATGCAGTACTATTTTTTTTTTCAAAGGTCAAAACATAGGGCTGTGCGGCATATTTTCAACATTTATATGCCTTGAACTTCTAAGAGTTTAAACTTATACTAAAATTCTGTACTACCCCTCCCTTCACTTTGGTTCTTCCTCAGAATTCAATTTGGCCGCTATCCAAGTGCATTCATACTGGTAAAATTCCCAAGTTGTGTCTCTAAGAGATGAAACTTAGAGATCATATCTGGGAACCAGTAGGTAAACAAAACAAAATATCTATGAATATTATCTCTCCCCAAAAGGACGCGGTTTGTGAAACAGCTATATTTACCAAGTGCAACCTATATAAAAATGTCATACAAGTGGGAGGTTTAACAAGCTATAACACCAGGTTAAACCCATCATCTTCTTTGGAAAATGCCTGTACCAAGTAAGGAATATGGCAGTTGTTTTTCACTTATTCTGTGATTTTGTCAGTTTTTATGAACTTCCATTTTTTTTAACTTGCCTTGGAGTTCATTATTTTTGTTATACAAGTACTTTTTTAGAGTATCTGAGAAATGGATATCACCATGAAAATTAAAATTAACCAATGCACCATGTAAATGAGGCCAAGGTCATAAAAACACTGCCATGCAGACAGATACGTACTCCTTGCAATCATTCATATACTACAAATAGTTGACATATTGGGTACAGTATCTGAGAAATGGACTTGACCACAAAACCATTGATAGATATGTAGACCTTAATGATTCTATATACAAGATAAAATCATCCTCTTACTCATAATAAGTGAGAAAGTCACATGATAGAAAAACTCTATACAGTTTTTTTAGAGCAGCTGTTAAACCATGAAAATGAGGTCAAGGACAAGGCACATATGCCAGACCAAAACTTCAGAACAGAAGGCATCCGCATACAAGATATGAATTACTGTAAATTCAAAAATCATTGTGAGGTTTTAATTAATGCGACTTTGTGTTTATCGCAATAATAAGAAATTGAACTCTGATGTCTGATACATATATCTGTATTCAGATTTTCCTGAAATAAGCAATAATTAATCTCTCATTTTTGTCCATTCTTCAAAAATAGCAATAATAAATGCACGTAATAATTTCTGAATTTACAGTATCCTCTGGTCTTCAACCTTCGTAAATATTAAGATTTATTCAATTAGTTTTTGACTCTTGATTAATATCCCTATGTCTCACATTCACACGATGTTTAGCAATCATCAATCAATCAGTCTTGCATTCTACAACTTTCATCCTGGGCAAGAAAAAAACAAGAATATGTGTCCATAGGTATTTATGCAACGCTCACGTACACTGTTCGGTGAACTTTGAAAGCGCATTAAAATGAACAAATTTCAAGTTGATTTGACCACACATTCATTGTTAAGTAAATTTACTGATTTCACAATATATTACCATGTTTAGTGAAGTGTGAATTGGGGTAAAAACCAAATTTTATCATATAATTTTAAAAATTCAAACCATAATGAACATGTTTAATAACTTTTAAGTTGATATGCAGGGATGGGCACGATTACTGACAAATGTAATCGATTAATAATCGATTACATGAAGGATTTTTGTGTAATCGATTAATAATCGATTACTCTGATTTTTGTATGTAATCGATTGCAATCGATTACTTTATCAAAAGTAATTACATTACTTTTCAATTACTGTCAATTTTATTTTACAAAATTACAAAACAAATAATAAAGTAAGTTAAAGTTAAACACAATTATGTTGCTCAACGTTTGTATAGTGGATATTTAGAAATTTACCAAAAACAGCATTTAGAGCATTGTCTTCAAATTTTAAGTTGACATTTTTTTTCTAGATGGAATCTCTTACTGAGGATCACAAATATTCAAACATTCTTGAAATTTGGCTTTCAACATGAACGAGAGATGACATCGCATTGCATCAATCACTTATTTATATTGCAAGTTTTTTTTCAAAAAATTTGCTTTCATACTGACTAAGAGTAGCTTTTTTGTTTTTACTCATTAAAAACAGGTATATTTTTATTCAACATAGTTAATTGCAATGTTGGAAGTTTTCCTCTGAAAAAAGTAGAATAATTAATTAGTTCAGCTAATTTCAAAGATCAATATTTATAATTATAATGTCATGCATGAATTAATCCTTTTGTTTTGATAACCACCCCAATTACATGTTATAAAACTGCCAATGGAGTACAATTTATAACCTGGGGCAAAATAATGTAAATCTCCCTCTTAATTAGACATAATTGAAATGAAAACAAAGTCTACATCTTATTTATTAGAAGTCTTTTATCATCTGATTAGTAAAGACAAGAATTGTGTTTAGATTTTTTTATTCTCTAATCAAATTATAAACAATATATATTCATAGTGTCAAAATGGGATACATGTATCTATTTCTCCAAAAGAATTTCAGTGCATAGCCAATGGTTCATTGTCGAAAGGATTTTGTGTACTTTTTAATTTTTATATCATAACATTATAAGGAATCAACTGATTATCTATTCTAATCTAAAATTCCAACTCTTATTTAAAATTATGCTTTAAAGAATGTTAATACAAATAAGCTTACTACTTTAATGTAGTACAGTACTTAACTTTAGACTCGTTTATTATTCTATTTCTATTTTCTTATTTCAAATCTATTTTCTTTTTTTAATATATAAGGTCTTGAATTATTGACAAGCACATAAATCCATTTTTTTTTCAAAAGCTAGATATAAAGTAAAATTTGGTAGGGGATCTGGTTGATCATAATGCAGCTTGTGACAATAGATAGATATAAAGCAGTTGATAAACTCTTAAATCATATTGATACATTCTGTTTAATACATACATACTTTCATTTAGAATAGGTTATATTTCATCAAACTATTTTACTAAAGTAATCGAAATGTAATCGAAAAGTAATCGATGATTACATCACAATTTTTGCTGTAATCGATTAAATTACGATTACATGTAATCGAAAATGTCTTCGATTACAGATTACTGTCGATTACTGGAAAAAATGTAATCAATTACAATCGATTACGATTACAGATTACGATTACCCCATCCCTGTTGATATGGCTACAACTTCATGGTAGACAACCTTAACAAAAATATTTAACCTGATACAAGATAATTTCAGGGACTAAATGATGGTTTGCATCATGCTTCCTCCTTTAACAATTGGCAAAATTAATGTCTACCTAGTATCTTAATTGCTCTGACAACCATGAAACATCGCCTAAACTTGGGAAAGGTTATTAAATTGTTTCCTTGATTGATAGTATTAAAAGCATAAACCATGTTAATGTGTTACAAATTTCATGAAAAAAATTTCTAAATACCATGAAAACTGATTTCTGTCAGCACCACACTAGCAACATAATCTTCATTAGGTACAACTGAGACAAGAAGTGTTTGAACTTACCAAATTTACTTTTCTTCTTCTTTTCTTTTCCTTTTGTTTTTTTGCTATTCATTTCCTTCATTTCCTCTGAAATTTTTTTATCCTGTGAAAACAGTTCAATAAATTTCCAATGAACACATTTTAAATGTCATTTCAAAATTTAATAAAGTATAGTAAAAAAACAAGATTGCATGCTACAGGGTAGCAACGATCCCGCCAATATATTGAAATTTTCCTTATCATATCCTGATTTTCAAAATCCTCTGAAGTATTGGTGTTAATTTTAAACATTTAACATTGGTTCCTTTTCTTTAAACAAGAGTGCACACACGCTGAAATGTCTCGCCTGTTTTACTTATCATTGAATTAATGTTGAAAGTCTGTAATATGAAGGTTTTACTACAAGTATCACATAAGCTTAACATTATCAATGTTCTATGAAAATGAGGTCACGGTCAGATAGACATGTACACCTTACAATCATGCCATACACCGTATATAGTGGTCCTATCTCTAACAGATCAAACCTTAAAATCTTTACATTGACCAATGAACCATGAAAATGAGGTCAAGGTCATATGAACTCTGCCAGAAAGACATGAACACCCTACAATAATTCCATACACCATGTATAATTGACCTATTCTTATAGTATCTGATAAACTGACAAAATTAAGAAAACTTATCTTTGACCAATGAACCATGAAAATGAGGTCAAGGTTAGTGAAACCTGCCAGACGGACATGTATGCCTTACAATTATTCCATACACTAAATATAGTGGCCCTATTGCTTACAGTAAATGAGAAACAGACCAAAACACAAAAACTAAGCATTGTACAATGAACCATGAAATTGAGTTCAAGGTCAGATGAAACCTGCCAGTCTGACATGTACTCCTTACAATCATTCCATACACCAAATATAGTTGACCTATTGCATATAGTATCTGAGATACGGACTTGAACACATAACTTTAACCTTGATCCATGGATGAGATCGAGGTTAGGTAAACCCTACCCATCAGACATGCTGACATTGCAAGGAATCCATATACCAAATATAGTTATCCTAGTGCTCATAATAAGTGAGTATTTCACTTAACAAAAAAACTGTAATTTTTTTTCAAGCAGTCACTGAACCATGAAAATGACTTCAAGGACAATGGGCATATGACACAACGGAATCTTCGTAACATAAGGTATCTGCTGATCTGCACACAAGGTATGAAGCATCCAGGTCTTCTACCTTTGGAAATATAAAGCTTTAAACAAATAGTTTACGCCCTCTTTGCCGCCAGCAGATTACAATACCTATGTCTCGCATACTGTGACTTTTGTCAGAGGCAAGACAAAAACTATGAAAAAATAACAAGGCTTTAATAAGACTTTCAAAAATGGTTTCTTCAGCTATATGTAATAAAATTATGAAAAGAAAAGTAGGGGATAGGGGGCAAAATTTTTCAACATGGATAAAACCAGAGGATTCCCAATATCTGACAAAAAGTCAAAAACAAGATAAGCAAACATCCTTAAGAAATTATGTTTGTTATAACAAATCACCTATCTGACTTGAACATATATACTTTGATGATCCCTAAGGTCTATGTTTCCTAGGTCTAACTGTGGATTTTATCTATTAAATCTATATATTTTGCCTTTTTGGGATGTAAAGGTAAATGCTCTATAAGAAAAGATCAAACAGGGTATGCATCATCTTGAAACATTTTTCATCTTGAAATATATAGATTTTAATATACATGATATAAGTAGCAATAGTTAGGTCCCATTACCTTATCTACTTCTTTCATTAAAATTTAATGAGAAATAATTGCCTCAAGAGTGCTAGCAAATGTTGATTTTCAATATTATTTTAATTTCCAAGGGACATAATTCTTCCAAAAGATGGGTCTTGGTTTTCAAATTAATCTGATATATTGCTGATCTAAACCTTTTTCATAAATTTCATGAATTTCCATGGGAAATGTAAGCAATGCTCCAAATGTCAATATTCATATTTTCATACTAAATGGGGATAATAAATGAAAATATCTGATAGGAAAAATACTTAGATAATTCAAACTTGTTCTTGCTTCATTTTTTTTTATAGTTCACAATGTTTAATGTTTATACAGTCAGCAATTTTTTACATTCATTTCTTTTATAATAAACTGTTAACACAGAGATATGTCTCGCCTATTTGTTATTTTGATAATGCAAATGATGAAATTAAAATAGCAATACTTTAACATGTAAGTTATGCAAATATTCAAAGTCAATGAACCATTACTGAAGGTACAGGGCTAAAAAATCTCCATGGAAATAAGATGTGCCAATGCTATGATACAACTGCAAACCAAATACCATTGACTTTTCATAAGTCGTTCCCTTTAAACAAACCTAAACACAAACATTATATTAAACTTGTAAACTATGTAAAAGTTTCAAAGTCAATGAACCATAATTAGGGGGTGGGGTTATATAATCTCCATGGAAATGAAACTTGCAAATGCCAATACATTTGCATACTGAATATCATTGATTTAACATTAGTGGTTCATCTTAAACTGACCTAATCACAAACTAATACATGAAAACTAAGCAAAAGTTTCAAAGTCAATAGACCATGACTGAGGGCTAAGGACCAAATATTCTCCATGGAAATGAGATGTGCTAATGCTTATACAACTGCATACCAATTATCATTGACCTACCACTAACGGTTCCCCTTAAACTGACCTAATCACAAACTAATACATGAAAACTAAGCAAAAGTTTCAAAGTCAATAGACCATGAATGAGGGGGCGGGGCCAAATAATCTCCATGGAAATGAGATATGCCAATGCTTATACAACTGCATACCAAATATCATTGACCTACCACTAGTGGTTCCCCATAAACTGACCTAATCACAAACTAATACATGTAAACTAAGCAAAGTTTCAAAGTCAATAGACCATGACTGAGGGGGCAGGGCCAAATAATCTCCATGGTAATGAGATATGCCAGAAACAGCATACCTATGTCTCGCTTTTTGACTCCATCAAGGCGAGACAAAAATCTACTTATTGTATATACTCTGACAGCTAAATCAGGTGTACCTTATGATAGGATTATTGATGTGATTTTTTTATATTAAAGAATCATACAGAGACTACATACCAAGGACAATAACTCTTACACAAATGGGACATGACTCAGGTACGGTGAAAAACATGAATAAGCCATGTTCCCCCAATTCCTCAAAATCAGTAATAAAACATATTTTTTGTACCTGTTCATAACCAGATTGTGAAAATTTAGAACCTCTATTACTTATTGTGAATATCTACAAAAGGACAACAACTCTTATAAAACTTGAAAACTTGGATGTGGTAAAGAAAAGGTGAATATGCCATGTCCCTTAATTATGCTTCAAAATAAGTCTCTGTGTAATATATCACATTCTTTTTGTACCTGTATGTCAGCAAGCTTTGCAAATTTAGAGCCTTTATAGCCTGTAGGATCATCACTGTTCTGTTGGTTATCAGATTGAGCATTTTCAGGCTGTGACTTATCAGAATGTTTGCCTATTTGATCATTTTTAAGTCCATTTGATTGGTCACTTCTGCCTTTCACAGCTTCTGAATCATTTCCACCAGCATTGTCTGTTGGTAAATTGTCAACCTTCTTTTCTGGGCTTGTTTCTTCGAATGTGGTTGAGGCATCAGCCATTGCTTTGTCTGTTGGACCAGTCTCATTTAAGCTGCTTACTTCATCTTCAAATACAAATATCAAAATCTATAAATTCTAGTTTCAAAAAGGGCTCTGCAAAACATACCATTCTTTTAGTTGGCCACAAAATTAAAAGGAGAATAATCAGAATTTTAATATAACAAATTGCAATTTTCACCTTAAACATTTCACTCTACTAACAAAAAATATCTGATCACTAAAGGAATTTCTTAGCTAAAACATTCAAATAATGTGTGCCTTATTACAGATCAGACACTATCATGATGTATCAATAATATAGTTGACGTGAAAAATGAGCATCAGTGGTTTGAAATATTCATCATTGTTTAGTTGTAGTTTTATTTTAAACATCTGTTTCTTGTTTGCAATTATAGATTTCAGAATTTAGATGCATGCATAAATCATGTAAATATTTATATTAATGCAATAAAACTTGGAACAAATGAAGTCTGTGTACATTTTTGTCCAGTGGCCTGAGGTTTTAGTAGTTTGTTTTATGTTATTTATGTAATATTTCTTCATGTAAATACTAGAGCAAACATAAGGGGGCCAGCTGAAGCCCGCCGCTGGGAGCAGGATTTTCTCACTGCTTTGAAAACCCATTGGTGGCCTTGGGCTGTTTTCTGCTCTTCGGTCGGGTTGTTGTCTATTTGACATGTTCCCATTTCCATTCTCTATTCTAAAAGATAACTGTTAAAATTTATTTATTTATTTGGAAAGCTTTCCTTTGTCATGTATGCATTATTAAAAGTTTCAAACCTTCAAAATTAGTTGCAATCCAGTTAAACATTAGCATGATGTGAAACAACTGCAAAATTAGAGCACCACTGACAAGTCCTGTATGATGTGTATAGACGAAACGCACTTCCACATCTGGTATACTAAATTGTAAGCCTAATATCTTTGATAAGTTGTTGCTGATAATTTTTTTTTTACTTTTATTTCTTAAGCAGCAATCATTGATCCTTAGGACTAAGGAGTTTTGATTAAAACAAATGTACTGTGAGCTATTAATCAGAATTATGTTTGACCTAATCACCAAAACCAAAACTTAATATTCAGGCGAAAACCCAGTTGAAATAAAACAAAAGAAATGGAACTCTTTGTTAGAGAAGGTAAAAAAGGCCAAGTTTGTAAATTTGAATTGTATACATCTGTTTCTATGGGCTTTAAAAGTTTATAAATGAATGTGCCTAATTTAGGATTTTATGCGTCTAATGTTATGTGTTTTTACTTAAATTATGGTATGGAGCTTCCAGATATTTGTAAATTTTTAAATTATAGACAAATTTTCACAAAACAGTCGATTGTGGTAGGTGCAAATTCATGTGGATCTTTTTTGTGCATAAGCATAAATTCCGCTGAAAAAAATTCCAAAGAAAGATAATAGATTGATCTTTTTAAAGCATTAATTTGCATCTCTGCCCCCAGCGACAGTTTTTTGTGAAAAAATCCCTAAATGGGCAATAATTTCATCGAAAAGAGAAAGTCCAGTACAATTTTTCATGTTTGGGCGTGTTTGAGTTGACTTTTCTGTCTTGAAAACGTAAAAAAGAAAAATATTTGATACATCATCTCGCTTCAGATTCTATTACTCTTATATAATATGTATATTTAGGCTCTAGGTTGATATAATAACATTAAACATTTACAGTACTAAAAAATGAAATATATGGGTCAAGTGAAATACCTTTCTAATGAGTCATATCAACAGAGTAGGTGTGTTCGAATAACAAATTTTTACTAAAAGTACTTGACGACAGACTTTTCAAGTGGATCTTAAAAATGCATAACTTCAAAAAAACTTCATTTTTTGTGTGTGTTATCTAAGGTAATTAGTCTTCAACCTCTGAAAATTTTTAGTCTGCCCTTCCACGAAATATTTAATTAGAATTTTTTAAATATTTTTGAACTTTCGAAAATTCCTCCTGACAACCGATCAGACAATAGTTGTAAGTTGATCAAATGCATAAAAGTACATGCTCAATAGCTAGTAGATACATTCGTCTTTTAAAATACAACTGGCATATAAGGATCGTAATGATGCTATGTGGATAAATTTATCGGTTTTCAAGAGCTAAATTGACAGCGCGTCATCACTACAATGGCTTCCATTTTTATGATTATAAATATTAGGTGGCGTAATGGGGAGATAATTTTGATGAAGTAGAATCCTGACTGTATTGATCAATGAAAAATATAAATTAGGTAAAGGCCAGACCAACATGTTACACCTCACAAACATTCCATACGCCAAATATAGTTGACCTTTTTGCTTATAGTATCTGACAGAAGGTATCAACCACAAATGAACCATGAAAATGAAGTTAAGGTCAGATGAATCCTGTCTGACAGACATATGAACAACTTAAAATCATTGCATACACTAAGTACATATTGTTACCCTGTTGCTTGTTGTATCTGAGATATATATTGACCTAATTAGGATAACTCAACTTGACCAATGTACCATGAAAATGATTGATTGTTGTTTGCTTTATGTCCAGAAGCAAATATTTCATGCCTGTTTAGGACAAGAACAAATTGACAATAAAGACAAAAGGTAGGTCCTGCAATAGGGGGTCTACCCGACTGATAGACTGGAAATTTGGAATGCCACTGGAAAATGAGGGTACATTGGATAGGGATAGAAATTAAGCCATGAAACTGGATACCCACTGACCCCATTAAAAGTTGTTGCAAGGATTTTTATTGTGAAGAGTGTGTAAAAATGAGGTCATGGTCAAATGAACCCTGCCAGACATACATGTACACCATTCCATACTCAAACTTTATTTTACCTATAACTTATAATATCTGAGAATTTAACCTTGATCATTGAATCATGAAAAGGGGGTCAAGGACAATAGGCATGTGACAGATGGAAACTTCAGAACATAGATCTATAAGAAAGATATGATGTATTCAGGTCTTATACCTTCTGAAATATGAATACATTAATAATTTATACTGTTGCTTGATTTGCACACCTACATGTACATCTTGCATTCTGTGACCTCTGTTGCAGGCTAGACGAAGAGAACATATTAATGGCCAATTACCAGCTATCACTACATAAAGTGAAATACAACATGTTTTTCTCTAGACATGCTAGATATGGTTCAAAATTGCTGTAATACTATAACTATATGAAAGACGTTTTCCTCATCCTAACCTTTATGTGCTGATGAATCATCACTTTTACCAGTTTTTTTGTTTATAAATTCTGATTCTTCAATTTGTGGTTCTTCTTCTTTTCTTCCATGGGCAAATACTAGAAAAAATAAAAACATAAATGAATAAAGTCACAAATGAAAGTGGGATGTGGGGTATACCTCAATGATACAGCAACTCAACTACAAAAATAACCAAAAGACATAGGTTCAACAATAGTCAGGAGTTTATCAAAATATCAAGATTTAAATCCTCCTGAGTCTATAAAATAGTGAATAATTTTGACAGAAACAATCAAACATTTGCCATTAATACTCAATTCTCCAAATAATAAAAACGATTTTTTGAAATATGAATATGATAAATAAAGGCAACAGTAGTATACCACTGTTCAAAAGTCATAAATCGATTAAGAGAAAACAAATCCGGGTTACAAACTAAAACCGAGGGAAACACATCAACTATAAGAGGAAAACAACGGAACAACAGAAACACTAAACTCAACTGCCACAAAAACAAACGCCAACATACATAGAAACGGACTATTTGATAACAACTGCCATATTCCTGACTTGGTACAGGACATTTTAAGAGAAAATGGTGGGTTGAACCTGGTTTTATGGCTAGCCAAACCTCCCGCTTATATGGCAATGATAAAAATATCGCTAAAATGACAACACTACGTGACAGGAATACAGTACAAACAAACGCAAGAACACTCAGCACAGAGAAATGCATAAATAAATAATATAATAGTACATTACAACATGTAAACCTCAGAATAACAACGGACATCTCCCATTAACGACTGCACAGGACACCACAAACAGTGACGTATTTTTGTGATGTATATATAATCTTGAAATTCATACAATTATATATGGAATGAGATCCAAAACTTCACAATTATTTTCACAATACTAGTCCAAAAAATTATCATGATTATGACGGTCTTGAAAGGCTATTTAAATTAATACTGTGACAATGTCATAATTATTTGGACTAACACTATACTTTATCCATGGAAAATGGAAATTAACTCGATTATACTGACAAATAAGACATATGTGAAATTTACCGAAAATAGAGAATTCAAACCACAAACGATAAGACATAACACAATATCCAACCGAACTTACAAAAGAAACATCACAAGATATGACATATACAATGTAAATATGTGACAATTACTGACAAGGTTCCTGACTTTGGACAGACACATGAAAATATGCTGTTTTATACAGATTATTATGGCTAGGAAAAGGGAAATAAGTACAAAAATTATTAAATTGTTTTTCTAATAAAGGAGTAGGTCCGGTAAGGGCTGATTTTGGCCTCAAAATTCAGGTTCATCTGATGAAAGATTTTGGACACTTTTTAAACACTTGAGTGTCTACTTCAGTCGATTCAATCAGTTTATGTAAAAGATTTGAACTGCTTTAGTCATTAAAGACGCTCAAATTCAAGCTTTAATATGAAAAATCTATCAAATATGCCATAATATGTCACTTTTCAGATGTTTTTTGTCAAAAATGAAAGTGGCCGCATCCGTGTTCATTCTCAAACTTCATATATGTTATGTATTATCATCAAATACAACTTACATTTAAATATTAAGAATGAACACAAATGCGGCCACTTCCATTTCAGACGGAAACCGTCTAAAGATTAACCAAAATGCTAAAATTTCGCAGATTTCGGTAATTTAGCATGACTTAATGATGCTAGTACCCGATACATGTGCATTGTATTGTCAAAAACAGCCCATATTTATGTAACAGAAGTACTCTTCTTTCCACTAAAAAGCTAAAAATTTACATTTTAACAATTTTGTAAAACTGCTATATTTTGGGGCCGAAAAGGGGTCTTATTGGGCCTACTCCTTTGTCATAATGCATAATAAAAAAAAATTGTCTTGCCATAGCTAGCTACCAAGTTCTGAGGAAAACATAGAGTGTATAATGAGTCATTGTTATTTTGAATGTAAAAGCTTATGACACAAACATGACAAATTCAATGAAATTCAGATATAATTTTCTGTCAGTTTTAAACCATTTCAATAAAACATTTAAAGTTGATCTTATCCAAGGTCAAAAACCACAATACTGATTATTATATAAAGTGCAGGAATCATGCAATAATTATTACGGACTAAAGATTGAGAAGCAAAATATATGTTTTGTAGCATTGAGCATGCCAGACCTAAAAGAATCATTACCAAAACAGATAAAACTCTCAGGTCAATTTTGCCAGTGAAAATTACGATCCTAGTATTAAGACAATTGCACAATTCATAAACTGAATTTTTTAATCCAGTGGGCAAATTTCACTTTGCATTAATTACCATGATTACAATTACACTGATAAAACAGTTTGAATTATAACAATTAGTGTTGTCAGCATATAGCCATCAGAAGGACCCAATATTGAATACCAAAAACATTATCAGTTAATCAGACTCTTTCCAAAATTACAATAATTTAATCCAAAGTTTGGTCATATTTCAAACAAAATGATAATGAAAATTAAATGTATATATCGTCGTATCAGTAACATGCAGACATGAACAATGATGGACAATACAAAATGTTCGAGGAATGTATGTCACAATAATCTTCAATACATCATATCATATAAACATGCAGTTTATAATGTCTTTACACTAAATCCATTGGATGTGTAATGATTGATACTTTAGTCTGGGAAAACATGATTGATTTATTAGCTGTTTTTAGCTTTGAACTAGCTTTCAGTAACCATGGTAACTGTGCTCTTAGATTGGCACTTTGTGTCTTTTGTCTTTATGTTAGTTGTTAAATGTGCTTTGTGTGGATCTGATGAGTCCAGCCATTTTCAATTAATCTTTACAGTTTGTTCTTATGTTGTGCTGTTACACACCATTATCCCAGGTTAGGGGAGGGTTGCATTGAGCACTCACAAACATGCTTAATCCACATTCTATATGTCCCTGTAATTCAGTGGTTGTTTTTGGTTGCTGTCTGTCATATTTGGTGTTTTTTTCATTTTATTAATATTGTTTTATCATGAATCAGGCTTTTGGTTTTATGTTTGAATTGTTTCACATTTTGTCATGTCAGGGCCTATAAAGTGGACTATATATATACGTTTATATGGTTTTTTTTCAATTTTGAAGGTGTATGATGACCTATAGGTGCTTAAATTGGCTTCATTTGGACTCTGTTGGATAGTTGTCTCATTGACAGTCATACTACAGCTCTCATTTTTTTTTATAAACAGGATAAATATTCTATGAGATGAATTAACTCACAATAGGACCTGTCAGTTTCTGCATCACTAGACTGGGATCCAGGAACTTTATTTAATGGAATGCCTGTTGGAGACTCATTATTTGTTTCTTCTCCTTTATCATTTTCGGTATCTGCTCTAGTTAATAGTCCATCTTTATTTGAACTTTCAACAGGATTTTCTGAAAATGAAGCTTCTGGTTCATGCTGTTTGTGATCTTGTTCTTTCATGTAATCAGTTGCTTTTAATCCATTCATACCAGATACACTTGTATTTGTACTCTGTAACACAGTTTCAGATTTTGTTGGGATTTCTGGATTCACAAATGGTATCTTTGTAGCTTCTGCATCCTCTTTGTTAATACCATTTTTATTATCTAGTTTATCCCCAACACTGTCCTTCACCTTTCCTTTGTCACTAGGTCTATAAGTGTCCTCTCTCATCTGGCTTTTACTTTCTTTTGATATCTTCCCTTTGCAATTTCCCATGTTCTCTGTTAAAAGTGTACTTAAATTCTGAAAATAATCATGATAAAGAAAAAAATTACAATCAATTAAAAAATTTATAATTGAAAAGAAAAGAAATAGGGTATCCATCCATGACACAAAACCAGTACATGCACAGCAAAAAACACAAGGAACAGTGCTTTTGATGCTGTTCTTAATCTCAAAGTCACAGCTATGAAACACCAAAGAATGTCATAAATATAGTGCAATATCAGGAAATCACCAGAAAATCTTGTGGTGTTTTTTTAGATTTTGGACCATATTTCTCACATACATTTATCAGAAAAATGTTGTAATGGGTTTTCAATTAAATTGTAATTATGAGCATAGCACTCTCTACACCAGGCAAGGGAAACAAATTCCCTAGCAATTTTGTATGGATGTGTCTGTGTTCCTACATCCTACAAAGCCAAATAAATACACCCCCCTCCCCGGCAGGTGTTTTATTGTTGGAAAGGAAAACTATTTAGCCACTTTGACAGCTTGTTATCTTAACAATTATTTCATAATTATTAAATTTTGACAATGATTTTGTTTTATAAAGTTTTTGAATATCTACTCTCCAAACCAGTACTCAATAATTAAATTTTAAATTTCACATGTTTGCTTTCTTTGTTGTAGTTTAAATTTTGAAATGTGGAATTTGCTATCAAGGGGATCCCAATATGGTTGTAAGTTTGTAACATCATGACAGGGCATGTTTGTTTTGTCATGTGAAAAGTCTGGAAAATTTATGGTATCAACACCAGTGCTTGACAACTTAAAAAGATGTATTTGAATTAAAGGAGGGGGAATGACTACCTTTTGAGATGTGGGATTATAATTGGTAAATAAAGTTGGGATGTGGGATGGGGTGTAGGTGATAAAAAAAAGTGGGATCTTGGAAAAAGAAGACAATTAAGTGGGAAGTGCAAAAAAATTACCAAAAAAGTGGAATATAGGGAATTGAAGACCCTCAGTTTTTGGGAGAAACTTACCATATAGATGTATTTACACTTGTATGCAAATTTGTCAGCCATTACTTAAAATCACACAAGTTCCCGTAAATTTTGACATCACAATTTAAAAAATTTGACCTCATAATTAAAAAGTGATTGTTGCTTGACGTCAGAAGGTTATTCGGAGACAGATTTAAGGTCATTCGGAGACAAAATTCAGCTAAATACCAAAAGTGTAAATACGTTTATTACCTTAACTTAAACTACTCCTTCGAAAGTTGATTATAAAATCATAGAAAGATAAAGTCTCCTAAATGACTCATTCATTAAAGTGACAAAAGTAAAAGTACAAAAAATGACACAATAATTACGGTTCGTTGAAGAAATGTTTTGTTTCAAAGCTATTTAGAGAATTATTTCAAACAAGTATTAAAAGATTACAATGTGGTTATTATGTTATATACTGAAATAGCATATACCTAATACAAATTCTCACTCAACGTAAGGAAACATCATTCGATGCATTTTCCCACTTTATTTTTGGTTTCTCTTTTCATTGTAAAGTGTACACTTTACGCACTTAACGTTAGCTATCGTAAAGTGTTGACCTCATTTTCCGTACAGTTATATCCGACCTAAAAACTTTATGTAGCTTATACAGTACAGATAATAATAGATACCCGTATGTTGCAAGGGAGAGGACCAGCCTAAAATAATAAAAGTTTCACAACATTTTACAATTGTACATTTACAAGTGTGGACTTATCAAGCGAGTTGGAATGTTTTGGCGGTAGTTAGGGAGTACATATTAAAACATTTGAATGGCGGGAGCCAAGCACTTTGTCATAGACCACCAATTCAAAACCCCTATATAATCAACCAGCTTTTTCAATTTCCACAGCTTTCTAAATATTTTACATTAATTCTAACCAGGTATATTCTGCATTGCACATGTATCACCTTAAAGTTTATATGCCAATTTTCAATCAATGTTTACTGAAGTCACCGTTCGGAAGTCAACAAAAAAAAATCCCTGGTTTTCTGGAAATCTTAAATAAGTACACTATGGAGATTACTAATCCTCAATTTTTAATGCAAAATCACGGGCAAGTAAATTTTGGCCCAAAATGGTCTACATAGATTTCTCTTTCACCAGAAGTTTCATTTCTGCAAATTTGTTTTTCAGTTTATGTAAACACTGACACCAAACGAACTATTTTTGTCTGGTGGAACTTTTACTAAATGTTCTAAAATTGAAGTGGGTTAGTTGGTGGTCTGACACCTTTAGTCAGTGACACTGTGACAACTCTTTCTGTTAATTCTTTTAGTGAGAGGGCGGGACCGACTTCCCTATCCCCTAATCCCTCTTCTCTCTCCCTCTATGGCCACTTCTTTAATTCCCCCTACACCCACTTCCATCCTATTTACTCCCAGACGAAAATTGGTCGTTGTTAGGAAGTTTCCATGGGAGATAATCAATTTTTCTTTCGAAAAGTCTTCTATATTCAAAAGAATAATGTTTTAGGTTATCTCCCATGGAAACTTATTAACAACGTATTGTAATTTCACATATATTTTACTGAATAAAAGATGTTTTAATTCAAATGATGTCTGATTCTTATGAATATAGAAGACTTATCGAAAGAAAAATTGTATGAAAGCTTAGTTTGGACATTTTTATAGCAATTCAAAATTTCTATCCATCACCTTTAGCATGACAATAACAATAAAACTTCTATACAAACTGTTAGACGGATTTTTCATTATAACATTGGAGTGGAATTAAATTCTTATAGGATTGTAAGTATGCATTATTTTATCACCTTGTACTTTCACGACTTGACTGTGGTTTTCTACAGCAGTTAGTTCAAATTTCTGACCAGTTGAACAGTTTGGTTTAAAAAACAAATTGCAATTTGGTCAGAATTTTAAATAAGTTGCAATAGATGGAGAGCAACACTAACAGTCAAGTCACAGTAAGAACCTAAATAATTTACATTAAGATATCCATTTATTCAAAATGTTATATAGAGAAATACATTGTTGTCGAGGATACACTATCCCATCTTTTAAATGGTTTTGAATAATTTTGCATTGAAAGATATGAATTAATTTATAATTGAAAAACAAAACATAGCTTCACTCCAGAAATAATTTTGGTTTTGTAAAGAATACGGTAATTTACCATTCTCATTTTTTGCTGTAAATACACATATTTGCCAAAATCTATGTAAGCTTCAATTTTGTTTCAAATGAAGAGTCGTAATGTTTTATATATTTTTGTATCCGCCACGGATCTACATTTTTTTTTGGTTAATGGTGCGGGTTCCACCGGAGTCCAGCTGATCTTCTTCATTTTGACCTGATAAAACTAAATTCCAAGGTAGTGGGTGCAACCCCCCTTTTTTTACACACACACACACACACACACACACACACACACACACACACACACACTGTGTTCTGGACACCTCCCACCCCCAATGACAACATATGAAACACTTTATACACTTCTAAGATCAGAAACTACCATTTGTTTGAATCATTTGGGCAAATAAGTTCATGGATAATAAGGAAAATCATTATATCTGCAAATGTCATTTTTCACTGTTTTGTGAAAATTAGTATTCCATGGGTTTTCCTCTGCGAAACAAGATGGTCTTGTGCAAGAAACATAAGTTATTAGAATAAATAAGTTGCTGCACCCTTTCAGCACATTTTATATATGACTGGTGCTGTTGTAGTTATATTTAATAGTAAGTTAATAACTTTAATTTATTGGAAATTGGAATATCGGCAGAATTTATTTTTTTTGTATTCCAGAAAATCAGATCGATGCTTGGGGTCAAAGGTCAAACAAGAAAATGAAAACTTTTGTCTCATTTTATTTCTTCCATAGGGTACCTTCAAATAGTATATGCTTTATGTGTATGTTTTTCAACGAAATAAAATCCTACAGAATCCCTAGTTACAGTAGATCATAACGGGACTTCTTCTTCTCTTCTCTTAGTAGCTTCCTCCATTATCGGAGGACCCGTGGAAAACGGCTTAATTTTTTATTTAAAGGGTTACCTATATTACTAGTACTTATTTTTTTAATAATAATGAGAATAATGTACATCTCTTCTTAAAATATTGGTGTCATAAAACTATACACAAACAGAAGTAAAACCCGTAATCGAAACAAGAAACAAACTTGTTAAATACTATATATGTAAGATTTTAAAAGTTTAAACTTTACTTTTACAAAACAAGAAACAAAACCGAATATGATTTACACACAGCAACAAACGACAACCACTGAATTACATACAGGCTCCTTACATGGGACAGACACATACATAGTGTGGCGGGGTTAAACATGTTTGCCGTTTCTTACATGGGGCGGTGGTGTAAAAACACAGCATAAAAACTTACTATAAACATCAGTTGAAAAGAACTTGACGCACCAGATCGATACAAAGCAGACAAAAAAACAACAACTACAAAATGAATAAAGACACAAAGTACCGATCTGAGAGTACTCGCAGACACTCAAAGCTAGTTCCAAGTAAATAACAACGAATTAAAAAAAAAATTGTAAGCGGGGTTCCGCGGAACCCTGTGTCTCGCCTACGATTGCTGCTGTCAGTGTAAAAGTGTAATGTTGACTTAAAAAGTGAGTCCATTTATCAGTAAAATACAGAATGTTAAAAAAGATTCAAACTTTCTCTTTAGATGCTATTTCTTGGTCTTGAAGATTAGCTTCTGTCCAAGTTTCATAACAATCCAAGAAGGTTAACAAAGTTATCATGTCAAACAAATTTAATCACAGACTGTCAGTAAATGTTACCTGTAAAAAAAAGTCCTTCCATCAGAAAAATACTCAAAATTAAAATATATTTTCAAAAGTGTGCTTCAGACATTATCTCTTAATCATAAAAAAGTTTCATAAAATTCTATGAAGGTTTGACAAAGTATTGGATGTGTAACAAACTTTAACCCCAGACTGTATCTATTTGTTAAATGTAAAAAAAACTAAGTCCATTTATCAGTAAAATACGGAAAAATGAAAATAAACATTTTCAAAATTTTGCTCTGGATACTGTATTTTGGTCACAAACAAGCTTTTGTCCATATTTCATCTAATTCCATGTAGGTTTGACAAAGTTATTGATGTCCAAAAAAACTTTAGCCATAGACTGAATCTAAATGTTGACGCCGGCCGACGGAATCTAGGATCGCTATGTCTCGCTTTTGCGAAATAAATTTCGCAGGCTCGACAAAAATCACGTATCCAAGACAAAATATCAATCAGTACACATCCAACGGATTTGGTGTAAAGGTATTAAAACAGTCATGATCTTGTGCAATGCCAAACTATAAGTATCGACAATTGATAAGAAAATCAATGTTTGTATCGATGAAAACTATATTCAATATTACAGTGTTAAATTGGTACTTTTGAGATTGAGTTTATTCAAAGGATCGATAAGCTTACATGGGTCGTATCAAAATATACAGGCTCTGAAAACAACATTGCCGTGAACATTAGCTGCGAATAGTCTCTTTAAACATTTAAGGCTTCCACTCTAACAAAAGGAACTTTTAACGGACTACTTAATAAGCATGATATAATATTCTTACAAGAACATTGGCTATTTTTAAATCATACGAAAAAGAATTACTGAAACAATACCATTTGGACTTGACGAACCACTGTCTCTGTTTGGTAGACCGAGAAGATATGGTGAAATATCAATTTTATACAGAAAGGTCTTTAATTTCAATTATGTTTTCTAGATTCCAGATGGAGATAAGAGAATACATACAGGCTATTGTGATCTCAACAGCAAAAAAACTTATTTGCCTCAAAAAATGTGTACCTTCCCACGAATGTACATATAAGGGACATGCTTGTTATGGAGAAACTTTGGCACTTTAACAGAAATGATGCTAAAGTATCAAAGAACCCATACAATAGCTAATTTAGGACTGAAATCTCAAACATCTTAAACATCAACAAAATCATTAAACTACCATAACTTTCAACATGAATGTAATCAACATTATACTGCTAGCTTTACTGTTTTGGAACAACCAGTAAATCATTGTGGCAACAGCATCTTCTCACCTGTGTAATAAATAAAAACATGTCAACAGCAGGCAAAAATCTATAACATTACCAACAACATTAAATGTAAAACAACACCTTATACTAGAAGGAGATATTGAACTTTACCCTGGACCTTTTGCGAGACGAAAAAGTATATACCCATCAGACCTGGGGTAATGGTAATTTGTAATTGTAATGCATTGTAATATTACATTTTTTTGATGTAATGCAAAGTAATTTGTAATGCACATTTTCTGCATTACAATTACATGTAATGTAATAATTACTTTAGTTAAAAATCAATGTAATGCCTCCATTACTGTACATTACTTTTCATAACAAATTGGTAAAATACATAAAATTGAAGAATATAGTAAAATAAAAATAAAATATTAACAAAAACAAAAGAAAGTATTGAATAAAATTATTGTCACAGTTAATTAATGTATTAAATCATTATAGATAGTTTGCCCTTAAAAAATCTTCTAAAAATAATTATTAAACAAAACTATATAGATGAATG